GACGCGACTTCTGGCGTGGAGGACAGGAAGGCAGGCGGGGAGGCGGATATTGCTTTGAGGGAGACCCCCCCCCCCTAAAGGAAGCCACGACCAGGTGTCACGGGAGGGTAAATGGCCGTGGATCCTGTTCGTCACCCAATCCGGCGTTCGCGAACGGAGGCAAAATTTTGCGAACGGAGCTGTTCGTGACCCGAATTGGTCATGAACATAAGTGTTCGTGACCCAAGGTACTACTGTATTTTGCATACCTCTATTACGTGGTTAAAACAACCCCAAGCAATCAAAACTAAAAGCAACATCTGGGGCCTTTTCAAAAACTAAATACAATATGGTAAGTACCAAGGGCTTTGTTGTAGAATTGCTGAAGAGACCATCATCACCATTATCATCAGCCCCATATAGCCATTCTCCAGACAATAATTTCGCTTTAGGGCTTGGAATCTGAAATTGAAACAGAAGCATACATATCTATCATACATATACTATAAACAAATAAATAAATATTTCCTAAATTCCTTTTACTTGTTTCTATCAAATTGCCAATTTTATAGGAAGGTAGAACAAGCTGAGTTGCCACAATTTAACTTACAACTAGAGATAAAAGCACATTATATTTCTTAAACCTCTTTTAATGAGGAAATGACCCACTGTGGAAAAAGAATTGTGTCCATTTGTTCACTTTAGGCTTTTAAAAGCTACATGCCTATTCTAAGTTTATATGTTAAATATATATATAAAGAATATATATTAAACATATGCCATCTTCCTTTAAAAGTTACATCATTTATTTATCTTAAAAATATGTATGCTGTATTTTGAATATTATACTTAGATAAGGTGTATGGAACCTATAATTCTCTACATGTTGTTAAAACTATAACTCAGAATTTCCACAACTGACTCTGATAACTGGGTTGCTGAGAATTATCATTTATCATTTAGCAATATTTGGAGGCTTCCTCCACTACCATAACTCATCCTTATAATTGTCTTAAAAAGTACTTTTATAATACTCTTTAAAGTGTACATGCAATTAACTATCAAATTAGAAAACAGAAATTTCTACTTTTGCTTGTTATTTAACAATTTGTCAAATAAAGCAATCTGTAAACAAAAAGTCCTGAAAGCATTTTCTACTAACTGACCCCTTTTTTGTTAGCAAAAAGGTCAACTTCAGGATCATTGTCTTCCTGCAATTTATGGCTGAAGAGAAGTTCTTCATCCTGAAACACACCCGTGCTCTTCTCTGAAGGCTGGAAAAAAAAATGTTGCATTGTTTTCAAAACACACTATGCCAGAAACTGGCAGTAAAATGTAACAGTTAAAGCAGATCAGCCATGGTCCTACTTGCTGAGAATCCCATTTTTATGCAGAAAAAGCGTGGCTCGCTCATGATGTTCTATGGTGGGCAGCAAACAGGTAGTCCTCATTTAGTGACCACAATTGGGACCAGCAGTTCTGTTAAATGAAGCAGTTACTAAGTGGGAAATCACATAACCTTGACTCTGCTTTCCTTTTCCCCCACTCCTCTGCCCTTTGGAATACTCACCTGGGCGCTGGGATAATTAGTGAGAAGGGAATTTGTTTGTATTTGCATTCATTGTAGAGGAAGGGATTTACAAGAGAGTAAGCAGGCACACCATGGGGAATACACATAGAAAACAATGCACTGGTGCCAGCAGGCCCCAGCATGCTATGCAAACAGCCAGTGTATTCCCCATTGTGTGCCTGCTTATTCTTTTGTAATCTCTTCCTCTCCAATCTCTCTGCTCTGTGAGGGGGTAGAAAGAAAAACATGGGTCAGGCACAGGAGAGATTACCTAAAGAGATTGTTTTTTTTTTTCTTTCCCTCTCCCTTGCAGAGCAGAGAGATTGCTTAAACAGCAAGAGGGAAGTGGGGGGAGAAAACTGTAGGCAATCTCTCCTTGTCTGACTGTTTCCCTCCCCCGCCCCTCACAGAGTAGAAAGACTGGAAAGGAAGGGATTCCAAGATAGTAAACAAGCACACAATGGGGAATACACTGACAAGAATAAGTTGTCAGTTTCAACTTATTTCACAGCAAATTAGGATTCTTTGGGGAAAAGTGGAGTGATACCAATACTCTGGCCACATCTGTAACAGCTGCCTAAATCTACTCTAGACTCTCTGAGCTAAAGAAATAATTTTTTTCAAGTTTTCCTACCAACTGATAACAGTGAAGGAAAGTTAGATATTTGAAGCAACCCCTGCATGTTACTCACCTTTCCTGTTCCCATACGTATGTTCTTACTGGCTTCCATAACTCCATTTTTCTCCTCTTCCTCAAATAAACTGAATATACTTCTCATCTTTCGCTTGGTATCTTTCTCCAAAAAGAGCTGGAAGTTCACAGACAGAAGTTATTGTTTGGTCCTGTGACAAACTGACCAAAGAGCTTCATTTTATACCACAAATGATTCAGTAATCCAGGGTTAGGGAATTTCTGTCCCATAAGATACATTATTCTTCAGCTCATGTGGTATGTAAAACTTTTTCATTTCTCCTGACATACCCAACTCTTACTTCCATATAAGAAAATTCATCTTTGTTACCCTCCTCTAAACCTGTTCTAACCCATCAATATCCTTTTGGAAATGTGGTACCTAGGATTTTACAAGTGTTGTGCTGAGTAGAGAGAAGTGGTGCTTACAGGTCTTCATCTTTTCTTATCTTCTTTATTTTTTATATGTTTGCCTTGTACATCACCCAGAATCTTATTATTGGAGTAGTCTACAAATATTAATATAGAAATATCCATTCCAGACACCAGTTCAGTTTAGCATACAAATTGCTCATGATTGCCTCTGGTTAAGAATAGTGCAAAATATTAGCATATTGATGACACTTCACTTCAGCTTTTTAGATGATCTCTTCTGGGACAAGCATTACTTACCATAATAGTTTTGCAGGGTTCCATAATAAAGATACCATGTGACTAAATACAGAGGTTTCCTCTTTCTTTAAACATTGATTTCCTTTCCTTTCACTACAATAATATTTATTTATTGCTCTACTCCCATTCTCCTTGTCTAGTACCTTTCCTTACTCCCTAGTTGCAGATTATCTTTGGGTGATTCTGACCTGTTAAAATTGCTCAATGTTTTTGAAAGAGATCCTTCTCCTCACTCCAAAAAATACTTGACAGAAATTTATCCTGTTTAACCTGCTATTTATCTCTCTTAGGAAGGCCACATCAAATCCACTGGTTTTCTTTACTTTTTTTTTAATTCACTGATAACATTCCACTCTGTATATAATAACACTCTATCTCTAATCCTACATCAGCAATTATCTGGTATTTCTGCTTCAGTATATCTACTTCAGTATGTTCAATATTCAATTTTAGATCTCTCTGCCTAAAATCTATTCTCCTTGGTCACATACTGTTTTATCCTAGTATCAAGTTTTAAGGCACTGTATGATAAATCTATATTTTGATATTGTACTTCATTTTTGTATGCCACTTAGTCAAGTTTTAGAACTGGACTTGTTTAAAATTCAAGCAACAACAGGCAGTATTGAAGACACAAACAAATGCAAATTGCAGGCGACATGTAGCTGAGGGAGTATTGTATACCTAGTACAAATCAAACAAGCTTAATTGAATTCTGAACTCAACTTTTCTGGATCCAAATCCAGTCTGCCTTCTAGAATCCACCAGCAACAATATATGTAAAATATAAAAATAAAGTTTTCCTCACTTTTTCCTTGCTTTGTTGCCCCAGTACATTTCCTCCTCCTCCAAGATTATAACCATGACGTATACCAGATTCTTCCAAAGGTCCTGCCTTCTTTCCTACTAATTTCTTCTGAGGTGTTTCCAGGAAATCTTCCTGCTGACCAAGAAGTAAAGGATGAATATTCTGCCCTTTTCTTTGTAAAATTCAGTTTTTTATACCTGTAAGAACTTATACTACGGATGGCCTGGAGGTGGGATTACAATCAGTGCTTAACTGTACATCTTGTATTAAAACGGTACGTATTAAAATTAGCTCTGAAATTCATGGAATTCCAGTTTGGAGAGAACTGTTTTAGCTTATTGCTTACAGAATTTGTCTAATCAGCTTCACTAGAAAATCCAGTCCTAACAGTTGCCTTTGAACATCAAAATCAGCCATTATTTTGTATTCAGAAGTTTCTATTATTATCTGTTATTTATTATGTTATCCAGATTGACAAACAGGAAGTTACATCATAACTGGGATTTGCTGTGATGTTTAAATTTAGACAACAAAGTAGTGAAGATTACTTTAATAGAAGATCCATATTGTATTTGTTACATAATTTACAACATTTTTAAAAAGAATGAATTTGCAAGTAGTCCTTGCTATCCAGTCACAATTGGGACCAGAACTTTGCTAAGCGATGCAGTCATTAGGTGACATATCACATGACCACATCGCTTAGCTACCACAATGCTGGCAGTCCCAGTTGCTGTCATTAAGTGAATGCCTCGGTCGTTAGGCAAGGCAACTTCCTGCCGGCTTCCCACAATCAAGTCAGTGGGAAAGCCAGCAGGAAGCCTGGATATTTCGATCTGACAAAAAAACTTGGACATCTCACAGAGAAGAGTGAATATTCTATCAACTCCTCACTACAGTGCCTCCAGA